TGGGGGAGGGAGAGGAAGGGGGAGAACCCAGGGCTGGGGCGGCAGGAGGGTGCAGTTGGGGGAGGGAGAGGAAGGGGGAGAACCCAGGGCTGGGGTGGAGGGCAGCAAAAAACCTAGAGCCGGCCCTGGCCGAGGCATGGTACATTTTGGCCTGGTCTACACTGGGGGCGGGGAAATTGATCTAAGGTACGCAATTTCAGCTACATGAATAACGTAGCTGAAGTCTACGTATTTAGATCTACTTAACCACAGTGTCTTCACTGCAGTAAGTCGACAGCTGACGCTCTCCCGTCGACTCCGCCTGCGCCTCTCGCCCTAGTGGAGTACCGGAGTCAATGGGAGAGTGCTCAGCGGTCGATTTATCGCGTCTACACTAGACGCGATAAATCAACACCCACTGGATTGATCGCTGCCCGTCGATCCAGCGGGTAATATAGACAAGCCTTTGGTTAGAAAAAAGGAGTCAGCCATATTTGGTGTGACTTGCTTTTGTGGATTGCAGACTCTGAAGATGATTGGAACTTAGGTTTTAGTAATTTTAAATGCATCCCTAAAGTGAGTTTGCAGTGTATGGAGCACACTGATGTTGAACAAAGTTTAGTACTCACTGTCCTTTTGTCTGTTATGAAACACATGCTCTTGAGGACAAATAACAGCCACTGGGTCAGACTATCAGAGCAAGAGTCCTGAGATCCATTTTTAGCAGAATTTACCATCACTGTGCATTTACTGCCTTTATGTGCACAAATATGTATTTAGCCATCTATTGGCCATTGAACTACAAGCCACATACTTTATCCTTCCCCTAACCAATCTCCTACATTACCCTACAGAATCTTACGGCAAGGCTTCTCTGTTGTTTTCTGTCTGGGCTGCAGAACTATGTTCTGCTGCCTTTAGGGTTTTCTGTGCTTGTGGAAGGTGAGCAAGCTTTGGCGTGTTTTTGTATCCTGAATTCTCAAGCTGTTTTTAATCTCTGATAGCTGTAAACTCCATGGCACCAGAAATCCAGAGTATTGAACTGGTACCTAGTACGTGGCAATTACAACTCCCAGTATTAAAATTGGACTGAATTGTACAGTGTCTTGAGAGTGCGCTGTCTCATCACTGTTTTGCCTTTATTATAACTTAGAAATTTAAAAGATTATTTCCATTTTATTTATGGGTGACAATTAAAACTTTCTTGTTTAATTCTAGGTGTTATGTTTGCAACAAAAAAGGACGGCTCGTAAATGCACCCTATGTGGACAACTCCTACAAGTGGGCTGGTGGCGGCTTTCTTTCTTCAGCAGGTGACCTCCTGAAATTTGGAAATGCCTTGCTGTACAGTTATCAAGTTGGACAGTTTAAAAACAATGCCAATAAACTTCTTCCTGGCTACCTCAAACCAGACACTATTACAATGATGTGGACCCCAGTGCCAAACACTGAGGCATCATGGGATAAGGATGGTAAATATGCAATGGGTTGGGTTGTTGTGGAGAAACAGCAAGAATATGGTTCTTGCAGACAGCAGCGACACTACATCTCCCATACTGGTGGAGCAGTTGGTGCAAGCAGTGTCCTGCTTATTCTTCCTGAAGAGTTGGACTCTGAGGTTATAAACAGTGGGTTAGTGACACCTCCCAGAGGAGTAGTTGTTAATATTATTTGTAATATGCAGTCAGTTTCCCTCAACAGCACTGCCTTAAAGATTGCAAAAGAATTTGATAAAGACAAATTGGCATGATACTTTGATTAAAATATAGTGTAGGTCTGAATAACTGTATTGTTGTATTGAAATAGGAACAAAGTTTAAAAAAAAAAAAAAGGGTAACATATGAGCTCCAAGATTGCTAGGAATACACATTTCTGAGAGAATGTATCAGGTTGTAAAGAAATTACCCTATATAACTTTTGTTAGTGGTGCTACATTTTTGTGCATTTGGAAGTCTTCGCTCAGGGAAGTAGCTATATAGTTGCTAACTTATGGAAAAAGGAGAAAAAGGCATTCCAAGAGAACAGTTATTTTGCAAATCACCAATGTTGTAGCAATGTTTTTTTCATATCAAGCCAAGGTACTGACCAGTCAAGACCGATACATATTATTGTTGGCCTTTACCAGAAAGAGGGTGATGTTTACTCTGGTCTTCTAGACATTTTCGTATTAGCAAATAGTTTCCTTAAATGTAGTAAAAGTAAGGGAAACTTGTATAGAATCAAATAATAAGAAAATGCAAGACTGACTTTATTTATTGCCATGTTATATTTTTCAATTCATGCTGGCCAAAGTTGTGTTCACAAGTATTTTTGAACAGTCACTTTAAAAATAGAGATTTTGCTTTTTAAAAAACATTGAATACAAAGTTTTGTACTTCTGTCCAAAAACAAACCCCACTGAAATTAAACTGAAGTTGCTCCCAGGCTGAGGATGACGGAATCTAGTGTACAATCAGAAGCATGTTTTTAGCAGAGTTGTAACTCTCAAGTTCCTGTTCAAAATTAGAAAAGGATGAAACTTAACATGGTGAGGTAAGCTCGTCTTTCATCTTTTAGAGGACTGCTTTTCTATTTTAACTGGGCACAAAACAAATGAGTGAAGCCAGCCTTCTGGCCCAGTGGTATTCCTTTACTCTTTTGTGTTGGATCAGAATTAAAATATTCTATATAATGAGCAAAATCAAGAGAGATTACTCTTGAATTCAATATCAAAATTCCCATTGACTTCAAGAGGAGCAAGATCACACCTAGAGTATCTCTCACTTCCCAATTCAGAAGCCATGCAGACAACTCTGCTCCACAGTAATCCCCTCTGGATGAGCAAGAAGTGATGCTGAGAGCTTTCCAAAGGAAATCTCATCTCTTTGCTGTAGAGGCACAAGGAATATTGAATCAAGGATCCAGCACCTAAGGGTGCTCCATAATGGCTGTGGAGGTTCTCTTCTCTTTTTCTCTATCCAGAGGGACACTAAAGAAAATTAGCTAAATTATCTCTGCTTAGTATTTAGTCATCCTTCACTTAAAAATAATCTACATTATTTCAGAGTCCCCTTTAATCTAGTTTTGACTTGAATATCTTCAATATGGGCAATTATGTTCTTCTTTTTGGCAGATTATTCTATTGTTTAATTAAAACTGTTACAAAAGGCTTCCTACTTTATTTTTTTCTTAATTTTAAATAATTTTGGTTATACTTCATAACAAAAACTTGTCTAAAATTCCCATAAAACCTTGTAGACAAGGACATATTTTATGTATCTCCTTACCACCTTTTTCTGTTGTTTTTACATGATCATTTTTAATCCAATTTTTTTTACTGCAGATGTGTCAAGTTCTTAGTTTCCCCTACTAATTTAACATATTTAGCTCAGATTGAGTTTCTTGGAGTGCAAGAACTGCTTAAATAATCTATTAACTTTGTTCCTTTCATGTGCATCTTTTGGTTAAACTTGTCACCAGCAAAACAATTTTTGATACTGGCTTTGTTAGAGTGACCATGTCTTCCTCGTTCAGTGATGAAGCTGTTGTGTGCCCTCTATTAAAAAAAAAAATCAGGAATTTTACAAGAACTGTGAAATGTTTTATCATTTAATATATACACTTACTGAAGTTTGAGCAAATGGAAAGGTGGCACAACATGCATATGAGTTAAATATGCATGACTGTATAGGTAATGCAGGAGTTGAGGCATCACCCATGTTCCTTTTGTTCTAATGTAATATTTATTTAGAGATGGCCAAGTGTTCACAGGCTCAAAAGCAATCTGCAGAAGATGATCATGATGAAGACTTGCTATAATAGTAGCAGATCTTCTGTATTCTTATTTTATGAGGTCTGATTACAATGTAACAATTAATCTGGATTTTAAGTGTACAGAATGGAAAATGAAGCTACGTTAATTCATAGTTCAAGTTTTGGGTTATTTTTGTAACATTTACAGTATGGTCTTAATTCATTTATTTTAGCAAATGTTTTGCTTAATTTTAATGGATTTTGATAAAGCTGTACCTGTAATCCAGAATACTGTTTTAATATTAATAGTAAGTTTAAGTACATTGTTTTTTCTTCCTGTATATCGTGCACAGAGCTTCAGGTTGGTGTAAAAAAAAAAAAAAGACACTGAACTCCCCCACAGATGTAGTTAGCTACTCACAATGCTACTGCTGCTGTTGATATTGCAGAGCTTGGCTAGCATTCTTATAGCCCCTGTGCTTGCATACTTCACTGGTGCTTTATTTCTTCATGAGGTTGCAATACGTCTTTCTCCAGATTAGATCTGGTTTTGCAGGAGCATGCCCCCACCCTTAGTCAAAACCTTAAACATAAAAGTTGCTTTAAAATGAATCTCTTAACACTGATGCAGGTGCCATAGCACTGCTTAGCAATTCTGTTTCTCTACCTGAAGGGGCAGGATACTACAGGCAGTAGCTGAGAGAATATTGGCTTGCCTGTCCCTAACCCTGCTACCATTCTTAACAATTTCACAAAGATTTGACTTCTACCATATGGAGAAATACCATGTCAGTTCTGCTTTCATATTTCTCTTATGTTATAGTTTAAGATAGGACATACCAAGAAATGTATTTTTATTATAGATGATCTATGATATTTAGCAGAATTGTCAGCAGTTTACTTTACACAGATTCCTAATTAAATGTAAATGCCTGTCTAGTATTTGCATGATTATGGTTAGTTATTTTATGCCTTAAACAATAAAAACTCATTTTATTAAACTATTTGTTTTGTGCTAAGTGAATTTGCTTCTTGACTGACCAAAGTCAAGAAGCAAATTTTATATCAGTATTAGGTCTATTCAACGTTTTTTAAATTATTTTTTTAATTTACCAAATGTTGGAAAAACATGCTCATGGAAGCTGAGGATTGGGTTACTTCTAAAGTAGCCAGGAGCTACTTTGACATTTCCATATTGTCAAAATCAGTTCATGTAATTTTTAACCTAAATCTTAACACTGATGGAAAAATATATCCAGTATAAAAACAATGGAGATAAAGGTTGTAAACTTGTAACATTATAATTGGAACGCTCTTTCATAATCTTGAGTATCTAGTGACTTGATAAATGTTGTGCAGTAGCAGAAATCTGTACTGTTTCATAAACAAAACATGAGTTGTTTGCCCTGGATGGCTTAGTTCCTGCAGGGTTCATGAACAGACAATAGCCTATGAGCTATTAAATGCAGAAACACTAAAAGGTAAAACTTCTACTCTAACATGCCGTTGCTTTATTTTTTTCTTTATCATATAAATACTCTGGAAATAGTGATCTTTGTTTAATGGCTCTTAAAAGTAAAGTTTTTTTTGGTTGTGGGGAGGGGGTTTCGGAAAAACAAACTCACTGAACATTGCATTGAATCAGATAAAGATCTAATATAATGTGTATATATACCCAAGCATATTGGTAAGAGTACCACAGAGCATACAGCACTAGTGATAGGAAACACCCCAATGTAGATATTTGAAATGGGTATGAAAGCAAGATTCATGGCAAGAAATAAGTTTGAAAACACTTAGCCATCAAAGCTACTAGTGAGAACATTTTACCAGCGTACACATAGCAGTTGCAGACTTTCTGTATCCAAAAAGAACATACTTTCAGATACTTACCTCACTGTGGAGGTGATTGTGTTTGATTTTTTTTTTTTTTAAAGGCATTCTTTCTTGCTTCTTGAAGGTAAATCATAATCACTGGTCAATGTAATTTCCCTATATGGAAGCATTACGGGAGTTTACATCTCATTTAAACTACTGCCAACAGCCAGGATTAGACAGAATGACAAAATGGATTATTCAGCTACTCTGGTTTGGCAGTACTTAGTTATTCGGTGTTGTCTTAAAATCTCATGTGTGAAAGGGGTATCAAACACTAGTTTTAGCTTGTGCTTATATCTAGAAAGAAATGCCCATGAGGCAAGTAAGACAATTCTAACAGTCTGTGGGCAGTGTTTAGCCAACCTAAGGCAATTTGACACATCAAATCTGACTTGAGTTACTTTGCTCTTAAATTATCCTGTTTGTCATGAAATCTCAATATGGTTTAAAGTCAGTTGATCCCTACATAACTATTACATATTCTACCAATTGACACAAGCCACTTTGTGTTTTTCTTAAAGGTACATACATACTAAGGATTTTTTTAAAAACGAGGAGATGGACACTAAGAATTCATGCTCACTTTCAAAGAAGTGCAGTAAAACATCTCACAAACTGATACAAATACAGTATCAAGCATTATTTTTTATTGATTTTAAGCTGACATCATGCTCTTACCACAAAAGAATACAGTTTCAATTGGAAAAGACAAAATTTCCAATGCCAGTCAAATGACAAGAAGACATACTTAATTTATGCAATTTTGAAAAAAGTTCTGTTTACATATAAGTCAAGACATTACTATAAAATTATTCTTCTTAAGATACAGATTTAAGAATGCACTGTTTACATGGCTTACCATGTAAAGAAATAACTGAAATGTCAATTCTGTTAGTATTCCATGGCAATTTAGAAAGAGAAGCAGTCCTTTTAAGAACAAAAGCCAACCAATTTTTTTTCTTGCTCAGGTGAACTGGTTAATTGTTATGCATAATATCTTTTCAGAATTTAAAATGCTAGTTCGTGGTCTTATAACAGGATAAAACCTCTTTAAGAGCAATTTACTAGACTTAACAAGCATTATACCAAGATACTTTATTTTCTAGATTAACCCTGTCACAGAATGGAACTAGTTTTTTGAATTGAATTTTATTCATTTCCTTGTGACTGGATGCCATTCACAGCTCTCTAATAGGTATTTGTTCATATACCATATCCCCTATGCATAGAGAATGCTTTCCAGTTTTCCTATGGAAAAGTGTTTGCTTTATATACCCATCGAGCAATTTTAACCCCATGTATCACAACAGTGGCATTAAAAAAAAAAAAGCTTAAATATAGGAAATGTATTCCTACAGCAATCTCCATTTGTAAGTGCACAGGCACTTGCCTTTCATTTCTATAGCTGATATAGCAGTGGTGATTAGTCAGTTTATAATTAACAAAACAGTGTGCAGCAAGTCTTAAGTTCCGATTCTTGTGTGGAATGGCATCACCCATTCAAAATACAGTAATAAAAAGCTATAAAAATAGAGCTCAATTACCCATAGACTTCCAGGAAAAATCTGCACATTAAGACGTTTTATTGGGGGGGCAGGGAACAAACACCAGGTAACTACTAGTGTTTCTTACAAAGTTGAACAATTAACTTGTTAGATTAACTGACATTTTTGAACAGATAAGGCTTCCAGGAGCATATAACATGAGTCATGTTGGCAAAGGGAGCATTCAATGTTGCTTTCTTCTAAATGAGCAACCTGTAAACAAATCACATAAAAGGATATCAAACTGGGATAGTCCTTAAGTTGTTATAGGAGACAACCCTGAGACCATCCTATTGCCCGTGCCATTTCTGTAGCTGAGTTTACATAAATAATAGGTTTAATTTACTTTTTCTCTACAAGACATTCAAGTGAAAAATTAGCATTTCAGGTCAGGCCTAATCTGATTATAATAATGACATAGCTACATTTTTACATCTCTATGTGCAGTGAAAGGGGCTTTATGCCTATGCCATTGAAAACTTAACTTTGCATCTTTTTAACAGCAGATCTCCTGCTCTCTCCTCCAATGGCAAACACCCTAAATTGGAGTGATTTCTCTGGTAAGGGTGGGATGTTCTGTAGCTTGGTCAGCCAGCATCCTTATTCCAGGCACCCTGCACTCCTGTAAACTCTTCTGTGAATGTACATAGATGCAGTAATACTATTTAATGCCTATATATCCACAGTTGTTGGCCTGTTTTACCACTGAAAAGTACAGCCCAGAAATCAACTTTAAACGCATATATTTAATCTCTTTTCGGGGAAAAAAAGTAACCTCATGGGGTGTTTTTTATACCTCTTTTCATATCTTATGCATTTTGCTACACTTAAACAGTAACAAGTTAACCACTGGTTTTACCCCAGTTATCTATGCAAACAGAGCAGCCATTATTTACTCAACTATAGTTTGACAAAAACAAATTTTAATCACAGGGAATGTTAACCAAGGAATCTTGCTGATACTAGGGGGAGAGGGCAAGCAGAGACCGTTTTAATCTGACAGCAGTACCCCCCAGCATAACCCAGGGATTTAAATCTCATAACCTTCAGGTTCAGAAGTAAATGAACCATACTATAAGCTTTGGCCATATGCTTTCCATTACTGTTAATCTAAAAGGAATTACAACTCAAGAGTATAGGGAATCGTTAAAGCCTATTCAGGGTGTTTAATTTATATGGTATTTGATTAATACTGGTTTAGTTACACCGCCCTTATAGAATACAAAAAAGACAAGCTGCAGATACAGTTGCAATCCAGCTCCCAATTTACCAGAAATCAACACTTCTCAGGGATTTGAAGAATATTGTTCATTTTCAGTCTCTGGTTTTTAAGCCACAGAAAAAATTAAACCTTTAGCACTTTGCAAGTACATTAATGCACAGCCTTCAAAAGGAATAAAAGTGGCTTATTAAACATACTCCTTTACCTTCTGTAAGCCTGGCCTTTCCTCCAGTAGGCTGGCACAACACAGTTGAGCACCCAACACACAGAACCACTGTCTGAGCATGGCTGAACACTGTGGTGATCTTGTAGCATCCTAAAAGGGAATATTGGTAGACTTCATTAAAGTGACCCAGGTTAAATGTTTAAAGAGACATAGCAAAGTCTGCATCTATTTGGTTTACAACCTTCCTCCAACAAAAAGTTGGCAACTGCAAGATACTAGACAATGAAATTTAAAAGTGCCTGATATTAGCAGTTGGACATTGCCTACCACAATAGAAGTTACTCTAGGATGACACACAACTGTTTTACTGAATCAAGCCTCTGAAGCCTTGTCTACAGTATCTAGTTAATCTCTCACTATTATGACTCCATCTGGGCAGAATTAGAGATAACTAATTAAAATGCCAAGAACTAGCTTACATTCATACTCCCATTATTAGTACCACCAGTGCATTTGGAATAATTGAAGATTAACAAAAGTACAGCTATGAGTTTCTCCTATTTTGAGTCACCTGAAGAACAGCCTTTCGTTGCCAAAACCCCATCCATTTCACTCAAACTTTTAATATACATTTGGAAGAAAAATCTAAGAGCCTGAAGCGTAAGAGAGCTCCCAAGTCAGTCCTCTGGCAAAAACAAAGTGAAATCCTGATATTTCTAATGTAAGAAGCAAGCAGAAGTGTTCTGAAAAAAACCCCAAACCCTCTTTATTGGAGCACAGAAAGTACACCCATATTCCCTTTTATAGCAGGTTTACATCACAATTAGGAATGACATTTCATTGACCTTTCGTTATCAGTCTTCACTGCATATAAGTTTCATTACTGTTATGCATAATGAAAGGGTAAAGCTCTTAAATATTTACCTGGACACTTTACATCCATAAAGTAGGAATTTGGACTCTGCACCAGACGTTTCTTTTTGTGCTTTCTCTTCTCCTCCTCTAGAGATGGATGTGCTATGTCTCTATCCAACTAGATTTAATAGCAAAGAAAGGGTAAGTCATGGTATTGGATGGTAAATACTGCTCAATCCAGTTACATCAGTTGGATGGGAGACTTCCTGTTGACGTTATGCTGCTGTTTTGTTCCTAGTTAGTATATGCATATTAATGCGCAAATTCCAGTGCATTAAAACTAAACCACAACATATGTAAGCATTTGTGTGTTAGAAGCAGCTGCAATACCATCATTACCTTTGGAGATGGTTATTGTAATGTAAAAGAACATGCACTATACTAGGACACACACTATTACATCATTCTTACCAATGCAATGTCTCACAATATTGAACTAGCTGCATGAATGAATTCATCACTCTTGACTAAAAAAATCAGATGTGAGCAGTGGAATAAACAAAACTGGCAATGATTTCTGGATAGTTTGTTTCAGAAAGGAATTTCCGGTTCTACAATCTATCTTGGTGTCTAAAAATCAGTTTGAAGGCATCAGGCTGCCATCACTGGAAAGGATAAGTCGGTTATAGAAGAGGCATTTCTGCACAAACAAAACAGGAATGCCTGGAAGAAACAAAGCCGCTAAAACCCTGCATAGTGGAACAGATGATTAAAGAAAACTCCTAAAACCTAGGCCACTAAGCTAGCTAAAGGTAGCTGGAGTGTAGCCAATAGGCCAAGCCCAGTATCATGTGACTGATTGTTCCTTGAACTGCTTTTCAAAAGACAGCCCCACAGCTGCCACCTGGTAATCTGATGGTTCAGAACAGATTAAACCAATTAAGAACCCAACCCTCCCAAAGTGCAAACAAGTGTCCTCCATGTTACCACAGCAGAAATGAAACGGGAGGCACCGTGGTCTAGAGGGGGCTCAATCCGCCTGTCCTTGACTTGAATGACCAAACGTTGTCTTCACTAGAGCAGGCTGACATGTAACACCCCCTCCCCGACTTCCTCCTGGCAGAGATAGTCCACACTCAAGATAAAGGGAGAGGAAGAGGGCAGGAAGAGGGATTTGGCCAGGTCTCACAGCGGGGTTCCTAGCACTCTCAGCCCCACTGCAGCGCAGAAGGGCCCCTGGATTAACAGACCCCAATACAGGGCAGGACGGGAGAGCGAAGCAGCCACGGCCGTGGCGCTCTCACTCCCTTTGGCGCAAGGCTGCTATATTCTGAGAATCCAACGTGAGAAGCCTGTAACCGGCGTCCCGGCACGTGCGAAGGTCACTAGGCGCCCTCAGCCTCCCATGAGCACGCGGGCGCCCTCCTAACGTCGCCGCCCCCTCCTTCCAAAATTCCACGGGTGTCGGTTACTCCGTCCCGTTAGTGTCACGTGGCCGCGCCCCCTCCCCAGTGTCCCTCCCGCCCAGCGCAGTGGCAGGATAATCCTCCCCCGCCCACATCTATCCAGGTCACGAGGGGAGGGTTGCCCGTGAGCGGCCCACACTGCGGGCCCCTGGAGCTGGGTCCCATACACAGGGCTGTGGGAGGGGGGCACATTCCCCTGGCCGCAATCTGAGGCCCCTCACCCCACCCTTCAGGGGGCTGCCAAGGTGATTCACTCCGGGTCCCAACGCTGTAAACAAAACAACTCACAGGCATGTTGTCTCTCCAACCGGAAGTACCCTTCGACTGACTGAGCAGCGAACGGGGCGGGCCTGTCGGACCACGGCAGCGAATCGGGGCTCATAGTCCGACTTCCGCTTCCGGGAGGCGGCGCGCAAGAAGCGTGGTGGTCTTTTCTCTATGGTCCACGTGGAGCTCTTATTCCTCCTGCGGCGGGCCTTGGTGATCCTCGGCCTTGGAGAGTGGCAGGAACCCGAGCGCTTTTCTCCCCACTTCCCCCGCGTGAGTCCTGCCGCCTCCCCGGGACTTGCGCTGCCATATGGAGCTCGTTAGCCAGCCTGGATCCCGGGCGCCAGCAACGTCCGGCCCGAGTCCCGCTTGCAGCTGCCCACACAGACAGGACGGAGGTGGTCACAACCCCAGGGCTCGCGGCCTGATACGCAGCCCTGATCCCAGCAGACCCACGCCAATGGTGTGCTCCGGGGATGGAGGACTAGCCACTGGGCACCCCTTCCTTAGAGGGCCCCAAGGCCTGACTGCCCCTGCGGAGACCACAAGGCCCAGCACCCAACGCTGAGGCTAGCCCTTCAGCGGTGACCAAGCCAGTCCCACAGAGACAGCAGGCGAGCCTCAGCCCTGGCTCTCTACAGTACAAAACATTGGCGCTACAAAACGTCTCTTCTACCAAGAAAACCTCCACCTCATTCTGTAGGAAGTGGCCCAGGACCCTGTCCTGCAGTGGTTCTCAACCTTTCCAGACTGCTGTATCCCTCTCAGGAGTCTGTTTTGTTTTGCGTACTCCAAGTTTTACCTCACTTAAAATGACTTGCTTATAAAATCAGACATAAAAATACCGAAGTGTCACAGCACACTAATAATGAAAAATTGCTTACTCTCTCATTTTTACCATATAATTATAAAATAAATCAATTGGAATATAAATATTGTACTTACATTTCAGTGTGATACTTGAGCCTGTGTTTCACTTGTGAGCCTTGTCTGAAGCCCAAGCCCTGCCACCTGGGACTGAAGTGTGGAACTTAACTTTGCAGCCCCTAATGCTGGCCCTGCACTTGTGACCCCCTAAACCTGTCCAGGTTGAGAAATTGATCTAGAAGAGTTGAGTACCCCCTGGAAGACCTCTATGTACCCCCCAGGGGTATGCATGCCCCTGGTTGAGAAACACTGTAGTAGTGTTTCAGGCCATTATATAGGCTTTCCACTTTTAATAGTTTCTTCTCTAGGGCACACAGATTGAGTTATGACACAATAACATTAAGCTGACTGTTTCTCAGTGATCTGATGTGTTGATGGTAGGGGCATTTTAAACATTATTGTATAATTTTTAGATTAAAGCACTTATAATACAAATTGCATTATAAATGCTTTAATCTGAAAAGACTCAGCTAACACTTTGCTCTGTTTACTGTCCTACTAGTTATCAGTACAGAGCAGCTGACTCCAATTCTTGCTTTGTAACTCTTTCCTCTCTCTTCCGGTCTTTTGCCTTCAAATGTATCCTATTTACCTGTAGGTTGAAAATAAAAATGTAACAACCAGATGGTTCAGTTTCGGGAGGAGGATTATAAAATCCTTTGACCAAGACAATACCTTCATTATCCATAACACACCAAAGGAAAGACAAAGCATTTGAAATATCCTCCTTTTCCCCTCCTACATTACCGTACCCTTATAATTTTTCTCCTGCTAGGACACTTTAACGCTGAATGAAGATTTTTGAGTTAGAGTTTACCTTAAAAATAGAGGTTTTTAGGGAAGGAGAGGCAAAGCTGCATGATCCAAAAGCAGGATGTCTGCACCATGGTTGACCTGGTTCTCTATTTTCAGTTTATTTGGAGCTTCATTTTGTAGTGTTCGCTGCTTACTGTGTGAAAGTGTGAGTGCCTGCCACTGTCAGCTCGGTGCTCAGAATGTCTCCATAGATCCCTCTGTGCACCCCCTTAAAAGCAAAGACTACAGCTGCAATTCAAATGTTAAAAAAATAAAATACAAGTTAATTTTGTTACAGAATAGGAACAGAAAATTAAAGATGTTGAACAGCAACTGTGTAAAGGGATAACTTGAAAGATTCCTGAAGATGGACTGGAAACATCAAGGCCCAGTATAATAATAGGTTTGTTTAGGAAAAGGTGACTGAAAACTTTTTGTTGTCTAACAGCTGAAGCTGAGTTTCTCTAAACACATGCCTCATAGTGTCCTTTTTCTGGACTATCCCTTTTTGCATAGAATCCTTCTCCATTGCAGTTGCAAGGCAGAACTTACCCCCTGTTTCACTCAGTTCTGCTCCATTCACTGCCTTCTGGAGCTGGGATATTTTTCTGAGGTTCACTCCCTGGTGTTGTCAGAGTATATGGTGGATTTTGATTAGAAAGGCGTAGTGCTTATGTCAGTGTAGTTAGGGTGACGCAGTGTCCGTGTAGACACTGCCTTACTTACACTGGCTGTTGACTGTCATTCTTGACAGTTTCAGGGCTGCCTCTGGCTGAGAGCTGCATGGGGCTCCTAGCTGGAGCTGTGAAATTGACTAGAATATCAATTTCACAGCTTCTAGGCTCCTGCTGTGAAATTGAGTGGTGTTCACAGCAAACTCTCCTGGTGAGAACATGCACTACTGGCAGAAGGAGGGTAGTGTGGACACCAGCAGCCAATTAAATTACTGCTGTGGCTGAGCAGATTGGCCTAAATTAAGTCAACCTAATTTTGTACTGTAGACAAACCTCTCGAAAGAAATACTTATTGAGTGATCATTAAAATGACTTCACAATAATAATTTAATTTCTAATGGCTTGTTTAAAAGAGGGAAATTTATACAGGTGTAACTAGATTGATGTTACAGGCAGATTTCCACACTGTAGATCTAAGTTCAATTAATACTTAAGTTCTTCTTCGAGTGATTGCTCATGTCCATTCCACAATAGGTGTGCGTGCCCACCATGTGCACTGGTGCCGGAAGCTTTTCCCCTAGCAGTACCCATAGGGGAACACCCCTAGCAACCCCTGGAGTAGCGCCACCATGGAGTGGTATAAGGGGCGCTGCGCACTTCCCCCACCCTCAGTTCCTTCTTGCCACCAGTGACGGTGCTTCAGAACTGCTGTGCTCCAGCTCTGCTCTGTAGCTTTCCCTGGTTGGACTGTCATTTAGTTCTGTAGATAGTTAGTACCTATAGTTTAAAAAAAAAAAAACTATAGATAGTAAAGTAAAAGAACCGCGCCCAGGTCGGGGCATGCCCCGTGCCCCAGGCTTTAAGTCATGCGATACTTGTAAACGGCCTATGCCCAGAAGTGACCCGCACACTAGCTGCTTACACTGTCTTGGGGAAACCCACATCAGTGACCACTGCAAAATTTGCAGATCATTTAAGCCTCGGACCAAGAAGGAGCAGGATATACAGCTCCGAGCTATATCGATGGAGTCAGCCCTCACCCCGACACCGCAACGCCGAGTTGGCACCGAGCACTGTAGCATTGATGCACAGCAGCCCAGCGGTGCCTTCCACCCGCCAGCACAGCTCCCCTTCCACGGGACACTGTAAGAAGATGAAGAAGCAATCTTCTCCGTCAAGGCACCGGGGCAAGGTTGGGGGTGAGATTAGACCTGCGCTGGGCAGCTCTCGATCCCCCTCGGCCTCGTGGCCTCCGACTCAGGCAGAGCGGAGTAGCCCAGCCCACTCTGAGCCAACCTTCCCAGACACCAGTGGCCACATACGGGTGCCCTCCACGCCGGAGGCCCTGCAGGTGGCTCGAGACATAATGTCTCTCCTGGTACCGGCTACACCGACCCCAGCAGCTCCCCAGTCCAGAGGCAAGCCCACCACCCGGGCAGTACCGGTCCCAGGAAGGTTCCCGATGCCACTCTTCGCCAAGTGACCACCCGCTGGCAGCCCGCACCAGTCTCCGTCAACCCCCACCCGATTGTCTGGTTGAGTGCTGAGCAACAGGGAATCGAGGCACCGCACCACATCTGGGGAGTGTAGGCCTCAAGGTCAGAGCATGCCCCGCCAGGACTGGGTCCGACAGCACTGGAGGTTGCTAACTCCGAGAAGCCACCATAGCCCCTCGCAGTACTGAAGTCAACGCCACTCACGCTCTTCGCCCCGGTCAAGGTCCCCAGCACGGCACCACTCCCGCAGCCCTAGGCATAGATCGCCGGCAATGGGCCGCCACAGATCCGCCCGACGGAGTCATTCGCGGAGCAACCATTACAGATGGCACTCCCACTCCTCTACACCGGACTCACGTTCTCGAGCCCAGCACCTCTCACAACGTCGCTACTCGTCCCCATCCCGGGATAGTGGTCGTTCGTATGCCAACCCAGCCTCCCCTTGGAGCCGGCAGTCAGCGGTCCACACGAGTCCGGCAGGGCAGCCTGCCCCAATGGTGCCGCAGAAAGTGCAATGGCACCAGGCTCCCTGGCCAGCGCCTTGGTACCAGTGGACCCCATGGGCCCCGACGCAGCCCCCACAGGTGGCTCGCTCGGTAGCCAGGGCCTCACAGACCATCAGCCTCCCTCTCTCAACCCCCCCAGGCACCTCCTCCAGACCCCCCAGGTAGGCGGAGCGCTCTTCCCTGGCCCCGCAGTCAGAAGGGGACCAAGCGCTGGGGACTGCGGCACCGGTGGGAACGCAAAGCACCACGCCTCCATCCTCATCATTCCCAGATGAGGCCATCACGGCACCTCCTCCTCCTGTTCCCCAGGAGGACACAAA